TTTTCACCTATTATAAGTTGCCACCAAAATTTTGTCGGAGCTCCCCTTTTACTGCACATGCGGGAGATCTTTATCCTGCTAAAGCATTCGCTTATATATATATATATATATATATATATAATCGAAACTTTAATATCTTAGCGGAAAGGAAAATATTTTCACCTATTATAAGTTGCCAACAAAATTTTGTCGGAGCTCCCCTTTTACTGCACATGCGGGAGATCTTTATCCTGCTAAAGCATTCGCTTATATATATATATATATAGATATATATATTCGAAACTTTAATATCTTAGCGGAAAGGAAAATATTTTCACCTATTATAAGTTGCCACCAAAATTTTGTCGGAGCTCCCCTTTTACTGCACATGCGGGAGATCTTTATCCTGCTAAAGCATTCGCTTTTATATATATATATATAGATATATATATTCGAAACTTTAATATCTTAGCGGAAAGGAAAATATTTTCACCTATTATAAGTTGCCAACAAAATTTTGTCGGAGCTCCCCTTTTACTGCACATGCGGGAGATCTTTATCCTGCTAAAACATTCGCTTTTATATATATATATATATATATATATATAATCGAAACTTTAATATCTTAGCGGAAAGGAAAATATTTTCACCTATTATAAGTTGCCACAAATATTTTGTCGGAGCTCCCCTTTTACTGCACATGCGGGAGATCTTTATCCTGCTAAAGCATTCGCTTATATATATATATATATAGATATATATATTCGAAACTTTAATATCTTAGCGGAAAGGAAAATATTTTCACCTATTATAAGTTGCCAACAAAATTTTGTCGGAGCTCCCCTTTTACTGCACATGCGGGAGATCTTTATCCTGCTAAAGCATTCGCTTTTATATATATATATAGATATATATATTCGAAACTTTAATATCTTAGCGGAAAGGAAAATATTTTCACCTATTATAAGTTGCCAACAAAATTTTGTCGGAGCTCCCCTTTTACTGCACATGCGGGAGATCTTTATCCTGCTAAAACATTCGCTTTTATATATATATATATATATATATATATATATATATATATATATATATATATAATCGAAACTTTAATATCTTAGCGGAAAGGAAAATATTTTCACCTATTATAAGTTGCCACAAATATTTTGTCGGAGCTCCCCTTTTACTGCACATGCGGGAGATCTTTATCCTGCTAAAGCATTCGCTTATATATATATATATATAGATATATATATTCGAAACTTTAATATCTTAGCGGAAAGGAAAATATTTTCACCTATTATAAGTTGCCACCAAAATTTTGTCGGAGCTCCCCTTTTACTGCACATGCGGGAGATCTTTATCCTGCTAAAGCATTCGCTTATATATATATATATATAGATATATATATTCGAAACTTTAATATCTTAGCGGAAAGGAAAATATTTTCACCTATTATAAGTTGCCACCAAAATTTTGTCGGAGCTCCCCTTTTACTGCACATGCGGGAGATCTTTATCCTGCTAAAGCATTCGCTTATATATATATATATATATATATATATAATCGAAACTTTAATATCTTAGCGGAAAGGAAAATATTTTCACCTATTATAAGTTGCCACCAAAATTTTGTCGGAGCTCCCCTTTTACTGCACATGCGGGAGATCTTTATCCTGCTAAAGCATTCGCTTATATATATATATATATATATATATAATCGAAACTTTAATATCTTAGCGGAAAGGAAAATATTTTCACCTATTATAAGTTGCCACCAAAATTTTGTCGGAGCTCCCCTTTTACTGCACATGCGGGAGATCTTTATCCTGCTAAAGCATTCGCTTATATATATATATATATAGATATATATATTCGAAACTTTAATATCTTAGCGGAAAGGAAAATATTTTCACCTATTATAAGTTGCCACCAAAATTTTGTCGGAGCTCCCCTTTTACTGCACATGCGGGAGATCTTTATCCTGCTAAAGCATTCGCTTTTATATATATATATATAGATATATATATTCGAAACTTTAATATCTTAGCGGAAAGGAAAATATTTTCACCTATTATAAGTTGCCAACAAAATTTTGTCGGAGCTCCCCTTTTACTGCACATGCGGGAGATCTTTATCCTGCTAAAACATTCGCTTTTATATATATATATATATATATATATATATAATCGAAACTTTAATATCTTAGCGGAAAGGAAAATATTTTCACCTATTATAAGTTGCCACAAATATTTTGTCGGAGCTCCCCTTTTACTGCACATGCGGGAGATCTTTATCCTGCTAAAGCATTCGCTTTTATATATATATATATATATAGATATATATATTCGAAACTTTAATATCTTAGCGGAAAGGAAAATATTTTCACCTATTATAAGTTGCCAACAAAATTTTGTCGGAGCTCCCCTTTTACTGCACATGCGGGAGATCTTTATCCTGCTAAAGCATTCGCTTTTATATATATATATATAGATATATATATTCGAAACTTTAATATCTTAGCGGAAAGGAAAATATTTTCACCTATTATAAGTTGCCAACAAAATTTTGTCGGAGGTCCCCTTTTACTGCACATGCGGGAGATCTTTATCCTGCTAAAGCATTCGCTTTTATATATATATATATATATATATATATATATATATATATATATATATATTCGAAACTTTAATATCTTAGCGGAAAGGAAAATATTTTCACCTATTATAAGTTGCCACAAATATTTTGTCGGAGCTCCCCTTTTACTGCACATGCGGGAGATCTTTATCCTGCTAAAGCATTCGCTTTTATATATATATATATATTCGAAACTTTAATATCTTAGCGGAAAGGAAAATATTTTCACCTATTATAAGTTGCCAACAAAATTTTTTCGGAGCTCCCCTTTTACTGCACATGCGGGAGATCTTTATCCTCCTAAAGCATTCGCTTTTATATATATATATATATATATATATATATATATATATATATATATATATATATAAACGAATATGTGCAGATGAATGAACCGTACTTAATCCAATGAATTAAAGAATCCAAGTTTTCAGGAACCCGCCGAAAGCCAAAAATTGGCGGAGCCAGGATTTGAACTCTGGGCCTCCCAATGTCCGGTCGGGTGTGCTAACCACTACACCACTCCACCTTAGCTTTCTGGCGTTTCCTACCTGTCTTATTAATGCACAGGAAACGAAATGTGTCCAATCGGAGGTGTTCTGGAAACACACGCCGCCGCGTGGAACGCGGTACGACGCTTAGTGTCACGTGGTACGTGCTCGTTTGTGCTCCAGAAATCCTCCCACTGTTTGTCTCGCCCCGTGTACATGTAGTATTCTTTGTTTATGAGCTTTTTTAGAGACACGGTATCATCATCATCTGCGAGAATCAAGAGCCACGTTATTGAATATACAACACGGGCACTTCACGTCATCGTACGTGGTCTCCGAGGAGGATATAAACGAATATGTGCAGATGAATGAACCGTACTTAATCCAATGAATTAAAGAATCCAAGTTTTCAGGAACCCGCCGAAAGCCAAAAATTGGCGGAGCCAGGATTTGAACTCTGGGCCTCCCAACGTCCGGTCGGGTGTGCTAACCACTACACCACTCCACCTTAGCTTTCTGGCGTTTCCTACCTGTCTTATTAATGCACAGGAAACGAAATGTGTCCAATCGGAGGTGTTCTGGAAACACACGCCGCCGCGTGGAACGCGGTACGACGCTTAGTGTCACGTGGTACGTGCTCTATAATATATAATAATATAAGCTAAATATATATATATATATATATATATATATATATTCGAAACTTTAATATCTTAGCGGAAAGGAAAATATTTTCACCTATTATAAGTTGCCACAAATATTTTGTCGGAGCTCCCCTTTTACTGCACATGCGGGAGATCTTTATCCTGCTAAAGCATTCGCTTTTATATATATATATATATATATATATATATATATATATATATATATATATATATATATATATATATATATATATATATATATATATATATATATATATATATATATATATATATATATATATATTCGAAACTTTAATATCTTAGCGGAAAGGAAAATATTTTCACCTATTACAAGTTGCCAACAAAATTTTGTCGGAGCTCCCCTTTTACTGCACATGCGGGAGATCTTTATCCTGCTAAAGCATTCGCTTATAT